CAGGTTTGATGGCCAAGCCAACCTACGGAAGGAGGGAAAGATAAATGTAAGTACATCTGTAGGACAAAGGAGGCTTGCACCTGTGTTAGCATTGCTCTGATACTGGCTACTACAAGCTTTAAAAAAATACTGATTAGATATTGTGAACAGTATTTAGAATATTATTTAGGCTCAATTAAGGCAAAAAGGTATTGATTGAATTAAAGCAATGGTCCACAAACTTTTTATGTTGCTCCCCACCCATAATGTAACCAGTCCATGGCCCCCAGGGGCGGAGCTGCAGCTGGGAGCAGGAGTCGAAGCCAGGAGCGGAGCTGGGTGGCCCTTCGGGCACCTCACACTCTGGGGACCACTGCATTAAAGCAAGATTCCACTTTGTCTCCAGGACTTCTGTTCAGATATAAATTGCTTTCATTTCATTAGTCCACAAGAACATTATTGCCCAGATCTTTCAATGCCAGAGGGAGGCAGCTACTGCAATGCAACACACTACTCTTGCCACACCAGCTCCTCACCTTCATCCCATTTTCCCGAATGTCTTTAATCAGTGCCCCTGGATTGTCTGTAGCCTCTAGGTGAAAAGTGTACTGGTTTGCACCTGCTACAGCCATTGGTTTCACCCACTGCTCCGGCTTGGCAACCATCATGTGCATATCTGAAAGGAATCACGAGTAAGCAAGATACACTGGGCATGCATCATTCACCAAAATATACCAATATGTGGACTATCTGTAATTCATATGCCATATCAGCTGCTTTAGAGTCATTACAGAAGATGCACATTCAAAGCATGTGCTCAGAGCTCAAAAAGAGTAGTAACAGCATAAGCTGTTTAAATGAGTGCATATTAATTTATACAAAACAAATTCAGAATATAAATCCATGCTCAATGTTGGTATTATTAGATATGTTTAGTAATAATTACTACTTGAGCTTAATAGGACATTGATTACATTATAGTGACATGCCACATGGGAGAGTGTTTCTTTAAAGTACTAAAAAACAAACAGTAGCTCACATAATACATTCTCCCCTCCCTCTGACTTAGTTTAGCTAAAAAGGAAACCGTATTTTTACAGCGTTTTGCTTGGCTATAAATATTTCGTAATCACCGAACATGAGGCCCAGGACATGGCTCCTTTGTGCTACTCAAGTTCTAGAAAGGGGCTGGAAAGCTGGGGAAATCCTCATCTGGCATAGCTGGCTCTACACCAGCCCTCCTCGACTTTCCCCACATGTACGGGGATGTGTTGTAACCACATTCCAATGATTCCTGCCACCATCCTGGCCTCCAGGGTAAGGCTATTCTAAACTAAAACAGCATAAAACCAGCCCCAGGATTAGGGAGCAGCAAAATGGTTTTGAGGTTACCCCACTGAGTTGTGGCCTGAGCTTACAGGCCACAAGTGAGGATAAAATCCACAATGTTTTGCAGTTTCCTTTGTCAGTATAACAACACGTACTCAAGAGTTTGGAAAAATGAAGTCCTTACCGAAGAAAGGATCCTGACCCAGCTGCTTTCGAAGGCTCTCTACTACAGGGTGTCCAAATGTGATGTTCGGAACAAAGTGCCTAGGATTAGAAAAAAGCACTTTAGTAGGCTTGATATTGTTTTACTGTATGGTGACTAAAGTAAGGAATTTTATATTGACCTACATTTATGGGAAATATAAAAACAAATCTTTATAGACTATGTTCAAGCAGTGTCGTTAATACAATTAACCTCTCCCAGCTGCAGGCAGTGCCACCACCAGCAGCAGCGCAGAAATAAGGGTGGCAATATTGCAACCCCCCTACAATAACCTTGGAATCCCCCCAATTCCCTTTTGGGTCAGGACCCCCCATTACAACACCATGAAATTTCAGATTTAAGTATCTGAAACTGAAATTTCAGATTTTAAAAATCCTATCACTGAAATGTACTAAAATGGATTGTGAATTTGGTAGGGCCCTAATAATAGGGTTATAAGCAATAGCTAGCATAGATTTGTCCAGAAGAAACCATGCCAAAGCAACTTAATTTCCTTCTTTGACAGGGTTACTAGCTTAGTAGATACAGGGTAAGCAAGACGTGACATGTCTTGATTTTAGTAAGCCTTTTGACACAATTCCATATGACATTCTCATAATCAAATTAGGGAAATACAATCTGGACAAAACTATTATCTGGTGCAAATCTGATTGAAAGACCATACTCAAAGAGTAGTTATCAATGGTTTCCTGTCAATCTAGTGGGGTCCCACACATCAGCCATGGGTCCGGTACTATTTAATATTTTAATAACTTGGATAATAGAGTGGAGAATATGCAGATGACACCAAGATGGGAGGGATGCTAGCATCTTGGAGGACAGGATTAGATTTCAAACCAACCTTGACAAATTAGAGAATTGATCTGAAATCAACAAGATGAAATTCAAAAATGACAAATGCAAAGTAACACACTTAGGAAGGAAAAATCAAATGCACAGCTACACAACAGGAATAACTGGCTAGATCATAGCACTGCTGAAAAGGATCTGGCGGTTATAGTGGATCACAAATTGAATAAGTCAATAATATGATGCACTTGCAAAAAAGGCCAGTATCTTTCAGGGGTGACTGACAGGAGTGTCATATGTAAGAGGTGGGAGGAAACTGTCCTGCTCTACTTGGCATAGGTGAAGCCTCAGCTGAAGTTCTTGTCCAGTCTGGGCACCACACTTTAGGAAAGATGTGGACAAAATGGACAGAGTCCAGAGAAGAGCAACAAACAAGATATAAGGTTTAGAAATCCTGACCTATGATGAAAGGTTGAAAAACTGGGCATGCTTATTCTTGAGAAAAGAAAAGTGGGGGGTGGGGGAGGGATTTGATAACCGTCTTCAAATATAGCTGAATCACTTGGTAATAGTGACCATAATATAATTAAATTGAACATCCCTGCGGCAGGAAAAACACCACAGCAACCCACCACAGTAGCATTTAATTTAAGAAAGTGGGACTACACAAAAATGGGGAAGTTAGTTAAATAAATTAAAAGGTACAGTGCCAAAAGTGAAATCCCTGCAAGCTTAATGGAAACTTTTTAAAGGCCCCATAATAGAGGCCTTTTAAATCCCAAATTTAAAAACATAGAGGACCAAAAAAGTGCCACCATGGCTAAACAACAAAGTAAAGAAGCAGTGAGAAGCAAAAAGGCATCCTAGTGAGGAAAACAGAAAGGAGTGTAAACTCTGGCAAATGAAGTGTAAAAATGTAATTAGGACGGCCAAAAAAGAATTTGAAGTACAGCTAGCCAAAGAGTCAAAAAGTAATAGCAAAAAGAATTTTAAGTACATCAGAAGCAGGAAGTCTGCTAAACAACCAGTGGGCCACTGGATGATCGAGATGCTAAAGAGCCCTCAAGGATGATAAGGCCATTGCAGAGAAACTAAATATATTCTTGGCATCAGTCTTCACGGCTGAGGATGTGAGGGAGATTCCCAAACCTGAGCCATTCTTTTTAGGTGACAAATCTGAGGAACTGTTCCAGACTCAGGTGTCATTGGAGGAGGTTTTGGAACAAATTGATAAAAAGTAATAAGTCACCAGGACCAGATGGTATTCACCTAAGAGTGCTGAAGGAAGTCAAATGTGAAATTGCAGAACTACTAACTGTGGTATATAACATTTAAACCAGCTTCTGTATCAAATGACTGGAGGATAGCTAATGTGACATCAATTTTTAAAAAGGGTTCTAGAGGGGATCCTAGCAATTACAGGCCGGTAAGCCTGATTTCAGTACCAGGCAAACTGGTTGAAATTATAGTAAAGAACAGAATTATCAGACACACAGATTAACATGATTTGTTGGGGAAAAGTCAATATGGGTTTCGTAAAGGGAAATCATGCCTCACCAATCTACTAGAAGTCTTTGAGGGGGTCAACAAGCATATGGACAAGGGGGATATAGTGTACTTAAATTTTCAGAAAGCCTTTCACAAGGTCCCTCACCAAAGGCTCTGAAGCAAAGTAAGCGGTCATGGGATAAGAGGGAATGTCCTCTTATGGACTGGTAACTGGTTAAAAGATAGGAAACAAAGGGTAGAAATAAATGGTGAGTTTTCAGAATGGAGAAAGATAAATAATGGTATACCACAGTCTGTACTGGGACCAGTACTATTTAACATATTCATAAATGATCTGGAAAAAATAGGCAAAATTTGCAGATGATACAAAACTACTCAAGATAGTTAAGTCCAAAGTAGACTGCGAAGAGTTAGAATGGGACCTCACAAAACTGGGTGACGATGGCAAATGAAATGCAAAGTAATGCACATTGGAAAACATAATCCCAACTATACATATAAAATGACGGGGGTCTAAATTAGCTGTTACCACTCAAGAACAAGATTGTGCAGCAGCAGTCAAAAAGTGAACAGAATGTTGGGAATCATTAGGAAAGGGATAGATAAGACAGAAAATATCATATTGCCTCTATATAAATCCGTGGTACACCCACATCTTGAATACCGTGTGCTGAAGTGGTCACCCCATCTCAAAAAAGATATCCTGAAATTAAGGTTTAGAAAAGGGCAACAAAAATGATTAGGGGTATGGAATTGCTGGCATATGAGGAGAAATTAATAAGACTGGGACTTTTCAGCTTGGAAAAGAGACGACTAAGGGGGGATATAACAGAGGTCTATAAAATCATGACTAGTGTGGAGAAAGTAAATAAGGAAATGTTATCTACTCCTCATAACACAAGAACTAGGAGTCACCAAATGAAATTAATAGGCAGCAGGTTTAAAACAAAGGAAGTATTTCTTCACAAAATGCACAGTCAACCTGTGAAACTCTTTGCCAGAGGATGTTGTGAAGGCCAGTCTATAACAGGGTTCAAAAAACCAGCTAAATAAATTCATGGAGGATAGGTCCGTCAATGGCTATTTGCCAGGATGGGCAGGGATGGTGTCCCTAACCTCTGTTTGCTGAGAATGGGCAACAGGATGGATCACTTGATGATTACCTGGTCTGTTTATTCCTTCTGCGGCACCTGGCATTAGCTACAGTTGGAAGACAGGATACTGGCCTTTGGTCTGACCCAGTATGGCCGTTTTTATGTTAAGAGCTGTTTTAAAGAGGACAGTGATGAAGTGTCCTTCACACGGGAGTAGTACAAGTAGTACCTGACTTAATCTGCATTAAGAGGGATTTAGATGGATATTAGGAAAAACTTTGTAAGGGTAGGTTTCAGAGTAACAGCCGTGTTAGTCTGTATCCGCAAAAAGAAGAACAGGAGTACTTGTGGCACCTTAGAGACTAACAAATTTATTAGAGCATAAGCTTTCGTGGACGTGGGAAGTGGGCTGTAGTCCACGAAAGCTTATGCTCTAATAAATTTGTTAGTCTCTAAGGTGCCACAAGTACTCCTGTTCTTCTTTTTGTAAGGGTAGATAAACACTGGCCTAGGCATCCGAGGGAGGTTGTGGATCCCGCATCGCTGGGAATTTTTAAGGACGGGTTAGCTAGACCGGTCATGGATGGTCTAAGTTTACTGGATCCTGCCTCAGCACAGGGGCTGGCCTTGATGACTTCTGGAGCGCCTTCCAGCCCTACATGTCAATGAAACACACCCTTCCCGTTCGTTAGCCACTAGGAACCCTGCACTATCACCACAGCGGATTTGACAGGACGCTGCACCAGAACAGCCCCTGATCCTGCGGCGGGGTCTAGGCAGACGCCCCCTCTCGCCTGGGTGTGTCTACACCGCGCTCAGGCGCCGGCCGCTGGCGCGTGGCAGCTGACTCGGGCTAAGGGGCTGTTTAATGCGATGAGACCCTCGCACCCCTCCCAGGGCCCTACGACCAGGCAGCGGCACGGGCCAGCCGCGGGTTCCCATTGCGGGCAGCGGGCTCAGCGCAGTGCGAGTGCCCGAGCAGGGCTGCCTGGGAGCAGCGCCCGGCCCGGCCGCAACGAGGCGCTGAGCAAACCCCCGACGGGCGGGCGGGCGGCAAACGCCCCGCGGAGCCGCCTCGCGCGCAGAGCAGCGCCAGGGCTGCAGCCGCCCCGGGGGGCGGGGCCCGGGCTCGAGCCGGCCCCGAGGCGGAAGCGCGCGCGCCGCGCGGCGGCAGTTACCCGTCCATCACGTCCAGGTGCAGGTAGTCCGCCCCGGAGTCCAGCATGCGGCCGCACTCGGCGCCCAGCGCCGCCAGGTCGCTGTTGAGGATGGACGGGCCGATCCGGCAACCCGACGCCATGGCCGCCGCGCCACCGGGAACTGAGCGAGGCGCAGGCGCAACAGCTTGAGAGGCGCCACAACCCCCTCCCCGGGGATGCTGGGACGTGTAGTTCTTCTGCCGCCGCCGACTGCGGCTTGCAGAATGGCAGGGACTACTCGCCCCACAATGCAACACGGTGCCTGGGGAAAGGGTGGCGCAGGCGCGCTTCATCAGCCTTTGGCGTCCCTCCCGGCGCCAGGGGGCGGGGCAGCACTGGAGACCCGCCCCCTGAGGGCGGTGCAAAGACCATGATGGGCGGGAGGGGGGGAGGCGAGCCCCGCCCGCAGCACAGGGCACACAGCTGGCCCAGGCTGGTGTCCCTGAGCCTGGCTGCCCTGCTCTGGTCACTCCCTCTGCAGCCCCTGGCTCCGGCTGCTGGCGGGACCCTGTCCTTGCCGGACTCTTGGTCAGGCCCAGCGTGGCCGTGCTGCTGTTCCTCCTTCGTGAGGGTAGCTCCTGCAGCTTGCCTGGACGGAAGTCAGGCATCGGCTTCCATGGCATAACGCCTCGCCGCCATCGAGAGTCACCAAGTTCCAGCGATACTGTCAACTAAACTCACCCTTCCCTGAGTTCCGGCGCACCGTGCCGAGCCAGCCGCTTTCACCCAGCTTTGTATCTCATGTAGGCCAAAGCAGAGGTTTATACCTACTGGGTTATCATCAGTTTAGGAAGAGACAGTCAAATATTTAGGAAAAATAAAAGAAAGGGGGAGTATTAGCTTGACTTCCAAAGTAACCCATTCAGAAGTGTAAAATATGAGTGCAATAAATGATGGCCAGGCCTCCAAACGTGGCAAATATACCACATTGGTTGTTAGCTGTGGAGCATTTGGAGGGAATTGCAGGAAGAAAAGTTTATCAGAGAATGTCAGCTCCAGCAAAGACAAAGTTTGGAAAGATGGAGGCCCTCTCTGGACGAAGTAGCCATCATAAGGCCTAAGAAAAATCTCACACCACACCACATTAAATATTTGTGATATATTTTATTATTTGTGCATATTCAAACATTTTAAACTCTTATAATCTCTTTCATAAACATAATTCAGACATCTCTATTATTTATATTTTATCCCTGGTCTTTGGTCACTTGGTACACATCACAGGCTTTGCTATTAGGTACTTTTGGGAAGTACAGTAGATGGTTTTCTCATTTTAGATCTATAAGATTTTGGGTCTGTAATCCTTCAAATTATTTTTAAAGGGCTTTCATTTTACTAATGGGGATTTTTGTTCTCCGGTTGCATTGATTCTTAAAATGAATTACACAGTTGTAATGTGGGGAAATTATATAATTTGACATGTTTTTACCCAGTTCTATGTAACGAATTTGCCTTAAGCCCTCAAATCTCACTTGCTTCAAATAAACTCTATTCTCTGTTTGGCACAGCAAAATTGCCTTCCTTTCAGTGCAAGACTTGACTACTTCCCAATACAACAGAAAATGCAAATGAGAATGTAATATCCTACTTAACTGCTGCCCTGAGATAATATTTTAAATCACATATCCACTTGGTTGTGAAGGTTGGTCTATTGTAATTGGTTTCTTCTCCGATATTTTGTTTCTTTCCATCTAAACATTTCTTTGGTAATGGGAAGTCAAAAACACTTTGTTAAAGCTTAAGATTTGTTCAAATTTCAAAGAGAATGCCCTTATTTGGAGATTGGGAGGGAACTACACCATTTATAAACTTATACTTAGTTTTAGGGTTTCAACTCAACAAGAGTTTCTAGTTTTGATGTTTTTTGAACTTCCAAACAAATTGATAAGATCAGTTTCAAACCTACATCATGTTTTCCTTCTGGAACACAATTTTCTTTCCTTCAAAAATCTAGGCAATAGTATTATTTCAAATACATCCTGTGACATTCTTATGCACATACATGTACATATAAATACACCTAGACATTCAGCACAGTTAAGGTCATATTAAGAGGACACAAATGCACACAACAAGTGGATCACACCGAAAGTTCCCAGTACAATGATCCCCCCTTTCTAAAAGGCGGGGGTGGGGGATGTATGGCAAGTTCTAGCGAGGCACATATTAAAAGATGACAGATAAACATATTAAATTATAACAAACTTTGTTGGCAACAGAGCAAAGTAATCTCATATAGCAGGGTATAGTGCTTTTTAAAAAGGGAGACTTGTCTAATGTTGTACAATAGGATTAAACAGAGCCTTGTCTTTTAATTACTATTTGTTGAACATGATCAGTGTGAACAGACTTTTCTATCTTTAATCCTTTTGACAACTGCAAATTAGTTTAAAACTTTGAGGCAACACAACAGAACCAAACACTGACAGACATTTGTAAGGGCCAGACGTTTGACATTCACTTAAGGCCTCTAACACTAATTAAGCAGCATAATTTTCCTTCACAGCAGAAATATACCAGTCACTTTATAGAGATACTGGAAAAATGCACAAACTCTGCTAAATTACATGTTTATGCACCTTATTAGTACAATATTAAGTGCAACCAATATGAAAGTAAAGTTTATAAGTATACAGACTGATCAGCCTGTCTTTATAACTACCTAATGAAATTATAGCCCTTTCCTGGGCCACCTGAATAATGTAATCTTCATTTATACACTGCACTTGTTTGGTTGGATGGTGGACTTCAAAAAGAGGCATTTTTAGTCCTTGCTATGGCTTTCTAAGATGGATTCAGCTTGTAACAGTGGGCAACCTTAAAGGAAACATTTATCAGAAATATTGAATTTATTGTAGTAAATCAGTTATTTTTCTATAATTAGACTAGAATACCATGGCAGGCATCTCACATTAATGTTAATGCTTCCTTTTAAAGTATATTATCAGTGAAAAAGTGACTACAAAATTCAACATGGAGTTCCATGTTTATTGCCTCTCAGTCATTTCTATATCAAATTTACTTCGTTTATGAATAAAATATTTCCCCCACTACTGCCAGTTAACCCAAACTGGGATCTGAAAGTGAAGCGGTGTTCTTTCTGATTTGTGAGTCATCGTTAATAATAGCAATTCCACATGAGGGACGTAATTAATAATTCTTTTGATGATGCCAACACTAGGAAAGAATCCAGTGCAGGCTCTGTAGTGCTGAGAGACGTAAGAAGTAGTCAGATATATTTAAGTCAGCGATATAAGCAGCTATCATTCAGAATACCCATGATCTGTGCTGAGCAAGGTGCCATTTTTACATAGACACTTTTTTGACCACAAACCACTTTCAGATTGACCACTGTACAGCAAGGGCTTAATCCTGCAAGGTGACTAGCACTTCCTATGAGGTGCAAAGTGCCTTTAACTCTCAATGAAGGCAACAGTAGTAGAGGGTGCTCAACACCTCTGGACTGGGGCCTAGATAGACAAGCTTGAGAAAAGAATACATTTTGTTGTTGCTAAATTGTACGTGTGTGTGTGTGTGTGTGTGTGTGTGTGTGTGTGTGTGTGTGTGTGTGTGTGTGTGTGTGTGTGTGTGTGAGAGAGAGAGAGAGAGAGAGAGAGAGAGAGAGAGAGAGAGAGAGAGAGA